CACGTTACAGTTTGACTTTTCACTCAGGAACATTTATGCTGTCTTCAGACAATTTCCTTTACTTTCCCAATAAGTACTAAGTTAAGGGCAGAAATAAAAGGGAAGAAACCATAAATCAAAAGCAGTATTTTTATAAATTAAAGGTGATGACATGTCAAATGAAGGGACATTTATGTACATCTTTATGGTGATTTTTTTCTATTACACGAACAGCTCAAGGACGTTTACAAAAACATTAAGTGATCAATTCACTTGAGAACCAATGTAACCATGTGTATGTGCGCACACATATGCACACAGGTGCTAAGTTTACGAACGTGTCAGTTATCTGGTGGCCATTACTGAATTAAGAATAGCAATTACTGAGTCACCCCAGATTTCAATTATATTTATACATAAATTGTGCATTTATAAAAACCTTACAAATAATTCTATTTTCCAGGAAGACATTGTAGGTAACAATTTAACACATGTAGTAAGAAAACATTTTATATTCTTAAAATCACAAACAATTCAATAGTCTTATGGCTACTATGAATCAAGAATTCTATGTATCAAGACTTCTCCATCTTTTTGTCACAGTAACATGTCCTTCAAATTATTTGTCCTAACATAGTTTATACATTGGTTATCTTAATGCAAGGGAAGTAAACATTTTTGAAGTCTGATCTGATATAAATCCACACAAATTTTAATCAGTTATGTCAAGAAAATCTCAAAAGTATTGCAAAAATTTGGATTTCTACTCAAACCATATAAGATGGACAGATTATGAGTTGTTTTCAAACAAATAAATGATTAATTACATTTTACTGACAATTTTACGACATGTTAGAAACTTAGTTTATAGCATGTTGTGTAGAGTTTGAGAATCCTGTACAGGATCCAAATCCTGCCCTTGGGCGATGCACTGAGGTCACTTGCCAAAAAAGAGAAAGTGAAATGTATTAACTGGGAACAACTATTTATATCATTTTTTCAAGAAATAATGATACTTACCTTTGCCAATAGTAACAGCCTGTCTTCTTTTAGAAATGAAATGCTAAGTATTTTAGAAGCCAACGATAAGATTCGAATGACCAGGATAATCAAAATGAATCAAACATTTGTCCTAATAATACCCAGTAAATGCATACATGAAAATACCTAGTTCCACATTAAATGCTGTAACATTTATATATAGTAGTGTATTTCATTTTTAAAATGTAGACAGCAAAAATATTCACATTTAAACTCTGTACAGAAATTATTCCTTTAGTCAAGAAAACAAATTATGTAAGTTACCAAGGGAAACTCAACAGAGGAAATTTCCTTGGGAGATTCACTCAGCTGAATATTTCTCTTCATAATAGAGCCTAGAGAAGTAATTAAAGAGACCTCAGGTTTGTTTTTATCAGTAGGTCATCCAAATTGAATGATGGTTCATGGGTAAAGTTAATGCTTTAGGTGATGTCTATTCAATTTCTCATAAGTGTGTATATCAGGAAGCTATAATTATTGCACGATTTCTGACAAGACCAGTACAAAATCCAATGTTGAGAAGCTAAATCTGGGCCCGAGAAACCCCTCCTGCTTATATAGAGGCCTAGACATAGCATAGAGCTGTGTAACTCTCTTTGTATCCTAAGGAACTTTTGGCAGATACTTTACCACTGAAATGAAAAAGAGTCAAAAGAAAGAATAGTTTGCTATGTGTCAATAACATGATTCTTAGTAGGAATGAGGTTTTTTGAGCAAAATTGATGCTGCCATCGTCAACACATACACACAGGCACACACACATGTAGTATGCAAACCTGAAGTGGGATTAATAATGCTTCACTGCTCTTGCTTTTCCAGTATTTTTCAAGGCATATTTCTCAGACTGGGGTGGGGGGGGGATGGAACTGTTACAAATGTTTAAAATTGGAACCGTTGTTATAAGCAAACACAGTCTTGTGCTTCTCATAGCAGAGAAATTTAGCCCACCAGGAAGGAAAACTACAAAACAGACCAACCCACGTCAGGTAAACCATGTGACCATGGTCTCCTCACATCAACCTTCCCCCTTACCATGTACTCATGGGCTGCTTGCCTCAGCTAATGTGTCAAGGGAAGAGAACTACAGCACAGAAAACATGAAAACCATGTCAAGAGAACATCCAGATGTTGAGTAATTGTGATCTGTAATACTGCTTATGACGAACAGTAATAACCAAGCAATGGAAACTGAAATCTGGTACTATACTGAGCAGAAAGGAAAGATGTGAGGCTGAGAGGGCAAGATGTTCAACCCTTGTATCCCGTCTCCATGGAGAAACCAGGCAGGAAGCTGACCGGGCTTTTCCAGTATGGAGGACCGCCAGTCTGCCTGCAGAGGGGGCAGTCCCAGAATACAAGGGAAAGGTGGAGGCAGACTAGCGGTGTACTCATATGCCAAACCCGCCGTCTCCAAACTGAAGGCTGTTTAACTGAGTGGCCCTTTCCAGCAATGGAGTTCAGATACCTTACACAATCGTAAACATCGAAATGGAAGAACTTTTCTCTACTTAATTTCTGTAGGGACAGGTCTGTCTGAGCACTCCCCATAGCTGAGGGGGAACAGAATTGATTTGTTAGTCTTTTGGCAATTGAGAAATCTTAACCTTGGAGTTTTAGCTATAAAAGTTTTGTTCACTAGCAATTGAACCTGGAACACTTTCAAAGGAGTGCTGAGTCACCCAAGAAATCTGTGGTATTACGAGAGAGACAAGTGTAGCCCAAAGCTTTTGCTCACATTAGGCATCTCCACCGTATGAAAGTCGCCTGGTTAAGAACCATTCACATCTTAGCATGACGTGTTTTTTCAATTTCAGTGAGTTAGGCAGGACAGAGCAGAATAACAAGAATTAATGCTTATACCTATTTATTCTCATGTTTTATGTGTGCGTGTCATGTTTAATGTAGGAAAATATTGCTGATTTCATTACTATGGGGTGAAATGTGCAAAAATAAGCCCTGGCCGGCAGACAAGAGAAATGTGGAGACAGTGGTGGAATGTATAAGAAAGGGTTCAACTTTTCTACCAGCAAAATAATGTTAAGTAATTAAAATCTAAACAAAATCAATATACTGATACTGTTCACCACTCAGATAACAAAATTGTTTGGCTATAAAAATTAAGAATTCTTATTTTCCTGTTGTGAATGTAGTTTTGTCTTAAAAATATTTTTTTAAGGTTTTTCAGGAATTTATAAAGTGGAAATAAGTATTTTTAATTTGGGTTCCAAGAAAGGAAAGAAATGATAAATTGATCCCTACATGTTGAAAACAAACACATAAAACAAAATACAAGCCCATTTTACTCCCCCCCCATACACTCGCACTTTTTTGACCAAACAGGTTAAAAGTGCCACGTGATGCCATTTATATTCCAGAACTATTCTCAAATAAGGGCAAATAAAATCAGGTTCACGGTTTTTGTTTGTTTTTTTGTGATAAGAAACAATGCTTTCCTTCTCAGAAGGCAAATGAAATGAAAAATTAGTGATGATGGAGAGGAGAGCCAACAAAATGGTTTGCAACTCTGGCATTGTAAAGCTGAGCTCACTGAAGAGTTGATTTTTGCACAATTGTCATAGGAAGTGGAAGCTGCCACTACTCCTGGTGAATCCTGTGGGAATGCACAGAGCGTCACCTTCAGGTCACCTGGGCTCCAGGTCTGTGTGAGCTGTTTGCGACCTGTCTCTGGAGTCTGCTACTACAAGGCAGCTCTCTGGGGCAGTTGTGGGCTCCTATGTTGTGCTACGGATTATGACTCATAATTTTGTCTAGATCTTCAGTGTAGAGCTAATTCATCTTCTTGATCTTCTATGATTCTCCCAGAATCCCTGGTGTGTACAGCCAAAATTTTTAATTTTCAGAAAGAATGAATCAATCACCTGGAAGGGAGAGCTGGCAGATACAGTGTCAACATTTTTACTCAGGCTGCAAGCCCAGCGGCTTCTCCTAGCAGGACAGGGGTTGGCTAGGGTTCTCCTAGTTGGACAGTGCCTTCTCCTAGCAGGACAGGGGTTGGCTAGGGTTCTCCTAGTTGGACAGTGCCTTCTCCTAGCAGGTAGGGAGCGCGATCAGTAGTTATTTGTATCACAAGTAAGAGAAAGGATCTTTCAGAGTATCAGGTAAACTCGACATACTTTTCCTGTTGGGATTTTGGTGTTTGGAGATAGGGTTAAACCTAACGGCAAAGACTGGAAGTGTCATGCAGCAAGGCTCTTTGTGAGCGAGATAAGTAAGAGCTATTTCTTTACCCCTTCCAAACTGTCAGAGACACAGTGGAGACTTGGCCGTCTGCAGTCACAACCTTACACGGATAACCTGCCTCCTAATGCCAGTGCTCTGACCCCACACCAGAGCAGACAGGGCCTGCTCTCTGCAGCCAGGGAGCAGGGACTCCAGAAGGCCAGGCTCCCATCTGCTCCACAAGTAAGCTACTGGCCGAGGAAAAACAAACTCCCGAAGTCTCTAAGGCTTCTTTTCTCTCTGGTGCTAAAAGCCTGAATAATATCAGTGTGTCCGTCTGTTTTCAAGTCTCTGTGGAAATGTCCACAGGAAATCCAAATAAAAACCCAAATACTATTTCGCAATGTATATTATAAAAAATTTACCTCCAGTTACCTGTGTGAAAAGTCACAAATTCAGACAAGTGGCTTTATTATCATTTTTGGGTTTTGTCAGGATAAATGTGGTGCTAAAAATATGTCACTTTATTACTATGGGCTAGGTCATTTGAGTCAGGTAATGATTTCTGCATCATGTAAGACAAACACATCAAGAAAGAACTCACTAGAAAGCAGTCAGTGCAGAAATGCACTGCGGGAGGCTCCATCTGAACGATGCTGAAGTGCTTTCCTAACGAACAAGGTACTGAGCTACTTGGCTCAGATGGTCACCGAGGAAACGTCGGCCGGGCATAGGATGAAGACACACTCTCACTTAGTGCCCTCTGGGCTCCCAGGTAACTTGCATCAGACACAAGTGAATGAAAGCTCTCAAATAAGCGATTTTATTCCTATCCATGATTGCAGACATTTACAAAACCATAACATCTGAGTTCACCTTAAAAAATAACTTATATAAAGCAGTGATATACACAGCACAAAATAGTTCAGGGAGGGGCAGGAGCAACCTTTAATAATTAAAATGTAAACGTGAAAAAAAGGATGGAATAAAAGTCCCTACTTACTTCTACTTAAGATGTCATGTGATAATATCTTACAATGTCCTGTGGGTCAATGCATGTATGCGTATATGTGCATATAGATCTGCATATACGATACATTCTCTTTCCCACACATATACATACACAGATGATTATTTGCAGTTCAGTTTAGGGCAATTCTAATGTGCCACTCCGTACAGCTGTTTGAATCACGTTTGGACCCGCTTTCTTCACAAAATGGGGAGAGCAGGAGCTAAAGGTTGGTTTGGTTGACTGGGATTCCTTTAACCGTACACTGATGAGCAGTTTTCTTCCGTAGTAGTTCTGTGAAGGGCTGACTCACGATGCTTTTCATGAGGAGACTTGGTAATGGATCACACACTCATGGTCATGCTGGGGGAGTACTGCAAGGACAGAGAATCACTGGTTAACAGGGATCCTGTCACCGGTCAGTGTGGTTCAACTTAGTACAGAAGGATAAATCATGAATTTTCGTTTCTATGAACATTTATGCATACACCTTTAACCTCAGGACAATAAGGAACTATATATAACAAGAGGGGTTTGTATGGCTTTTCTTAGTTGTGAAATTTTAAACTATTTCCTCTACCAAGTTTGATTCTTCCCCAGGACCTAGATAATCATCCAGTCCCTCAGACACTCCTTGCAGCCAGATGAGGGTTTTGCCGACAGGCTTCTCACCCTTCTAACAGCCTTTATGACAGCACCCAGGAGTTTGGGGATGACTAAACACATAATCCTTAAACTACAGACTTGATGAGACACACAGAGAGTGCTCAGTACTGAACAGTGTAAGGAAACAGAGCGACCGCCAGCTCTGCGGAGTCTCACGGGAACACCAGATGCTCCAGTGTGCACCACCATAGAGCCCCTCCCCCAACCCAGTGTTAGTCCACTGCAGGAAAGAGCAGGGACTCGGCTTTACAGTATGATGAGGCTGACATGACGTAGGGTGGAAATTTAGAACATTACCTGACTTCAATTTACTTAAGTGTGAATCACCACATGCAGCTAGAGGCTGCCGTCATGGATGGCACAGCTCTGGAGCTTCTGAGTCAAGACAAGCACCTTTTGTAAATGGTAGGGGGTCTACATGATGGTTTCTACATGAAAATAAAAAACGTGAACCTTGGAATAGCCTAATGCTTGATGGAAAATCTGCAAAAAGCACTTCAAAGGGTGATTTCTTTTAATGTTCTACTAATGACTGTGTCTCAGGATGAGAGGTAGATGAATCCAAAGGACAGATTCCACACTGCAGAATCCAATGACTAACTGTGGCTATGTGGGCAGTGGGATGTGACTTTTCACAAAGTTGGGAGAACAGGAAAATCGTGTTGGAGGAACCGCAGGCCAGCTGGGATGGATTGCAGGCAGAGCTGAAGTTCAGGTGAACTCAAGTGGGAAGAGGCCCCAGGTAAGCATTACCTGGGACAGGGGCTTGGTCCTCTGAAGCACAAGTTATTAGGATGTAAGCCCCCAAGTGCACTGTTCTGAGTAAATATAGAGAATGAGGTAGAGGAGGAGGAGGAGGCTGGGAAAAGAGTACCTGGACCACAGGAGGGGGCTGCTAATTCTTCGAACACTGGTCACACCAAGCAGAATCTATTTGTCCCTGAATAGCTGAGCTCTATATTGGTAAAAGGAAGGTAAGCTAGTTAAGTAGTTCTGACTCCCATGTTGGATAATAGGGAACATTGAGCAATAAAAATGATGGGAAAAAGGAAATGATGTAACTGTTTATAATCTCAAAGAATAAAAAAATAAAAATGTATTCTAACCCAGAAAGAAAGGCAAGATGGAAAATACAAGTCAAAAGCAAATCAATGGCCCCGTTTGCCATCATACGTAAGGAGTACTTGGAGCCACCCTGTGCTGAAAAGGAAACATCCAATGACCTGGCAATGTGACAAAGTTTCACCTCACCATGCTGCAACTTATTACCCACTGCCTGGGACTAAATGTACTTAGTCACACAATATAACTATATAAACTATAGAGTACAGTTATATTCAGAGACCAGGACAAGCAATAAGAAAAGAGGAAAACACATCTCTACAGAAAAATGGGGGCAGAGAAATTTAATCCATGCTTTCCGTACTCCTTGTAGCCACCATAAGAACTGGGAATGCCTTTCTGTGGTTCAACAGAACCTGTGATGATAGAACTTTCTACTCTGTCCCAGCCAGTATAACAGGCTCCATAGACATGTGGCTTCTAAGTTCTTGAAATGTAGCCATTGAAGACTCAGCAGTGAAAATTTCCATGTTTCACTTTAATCACATATTTAAATTGCATGGCCGGATTACCAGCATTATTTCTGAGAGTTGCTGTGCCAGTGACCTAAAGCAAGGTAGGATAGTTTCCTTCAGAGTCTCACAGGAAATGCTTTTGACAGTCTCTGGGACTCTAGAGACCCTTCCATTGAACGTGCGGCTCAGGCAATCTGGATTTAAGATGTTTGGAATCCTTTCTCCCTAAGGATTCCAGCTCATTCATATATCTCATAACATTAGGAAGCTCATAAAATACTTCTTATTCTAATGTACACTGTCCAATGATGTACATGTGCACATGCTCTGTTGTCAAGTGTTTTAGTAGCTGCTATTATCCCTTAACACTAGTTGTTGTTGAAACGTGGCAGATCAAATGCCTTGAGAAAAATCTCACAGAAAAGTAAAATACTGTTGATACATCAGGGGGTCAGAGAAGTCGCTTTGCCCCTAACAGAAACTGAGGAGAAAAAAAATTAGGTGCAGAGAAACTGAGGGTCAGGGCCAGTCAGAAAGGACTGATGCATCAGCTCCAGGAAACCAAACTCAGAGTCTACAAGACTCTAATGAAGTAGAACTTCTGAGTAATGCATGCAGCTACAGAGCGACATGTCATAGTCTGGCACAGAACGTCAGGATGCACTGGTGCCCGGGCGTCCCCAGGCCATGCGTCACATGCTCCCGAAGGCTGTGGACTGCTCACTGTCAGTTTCTATTATCAAAATCATTTCAAGAAAATGAAACTACAGAAAGTTATAAAATTCTAGGAAGCCTCCCAGAATGCAAGCAAACAGGAGTATTTCCACAGATCACGCTCTTCAGAGTCCTGAAGGGGTGGCTCACATTTTCCCAGAAGAAAGGAAGAGTGAGCGGTAAACAGAAACACACTATTCCTGATGCCCGGTGCTGACTCATATCAGCGTTTCTGCTGTGTTGTTACATCCATGTACAACGAGACACTGTGATGTTTATATCAAAGGCTGTGATATCAGGCCGTACTGTTGGAACTGCTCGGCTACTCTGGTTCTCTCTCCTCAGAGAATAAAACGGCCCGTTAGCCACTGACAGCACTCGTTTGGCTTAGGGAAAAAAAATCAAAAGCTATTATTTTAAAAATATGTCTATGTTATCTATTTTTGTAAAGCATATTTTGAGATAGCATGTCCTAGTATGAACTTGTGGAGTCTCCTCCTTATCACCTAATATTCCACAGACTCTGTTAGGCGCAGTCATTAAGTCTCCTGAAGGACAAGAGAAACAGGGTCTAGTTCTGCTCCCCTGAATATAACGTGAACTAACTCAATGTGTGCGTCACTACCTAAGGAACTCGGGCTCACAGTTTCCTGACAATAGCAGGAGACAATGGAGAGGAGGTGGGAGCCTTGTCTGCCAGCCTGTCACTGCTCAGTACCGTCATTCTAATAACATACCCACTCATCTGATTAGACAATCGTCATGTGCAAACATTTCTTACGAATTAACGCAACAAATTAATTCAACCGCTTTCTTCTTTTGAATCATTTTTGTATCTGCACCATCAAAACCAAACATTTACAGCATGCGAACACTAGGGGGCAGCTTTGTTTCTTGAAAGAAGGAGCCTTGTTTTGCTGCTTTGGCTCGGCCAAGCATGCGTGCAGCGCTGGCTCTGTGGATAGGCGTTGTTTTTGTCTTGGTGTAATGAAACGAAGTAGCATGTAGGGAGAGAGCCGGATACCGTCTAGTCTACAGCCAGCCCTGAGCAGTTGTGTTTCCTCTGGACTTCGGTTTCACCGCTAGGGAAGGTGACTGACCGTCAAGGGGCAGCCTGCTCCAGCGCGTGCCTTTCAGGGTCACACGCCTTCAAAATCTAGACTCTGCACACTTGTTTCCTGGGGTTTTGAATTCCCTCGGTAGTTCTGCGTTTTCTTGGTTACAGTACACCTGAAGTTACTGGAGACACAAGCTCTGTCACTTCTTGACTCCCACGTTCGTCAGCACAGAACCTCTCCTTTCACACCCATCCTACTTCAATACATGTAAACAACATGTGTGGTAACATCCACACCATGCAGCACCAGGACACCCGGTGGGCTTAAAAACAGGGCACAGGGCGCTGGCAGGGGCGAGTGGGGACGGGGCAGGTTTGATCAAAACACATTACATGCGCGGATGAAATTCTTCCTCAGTAAACTGTGGAACACAAAGGACGCCCCAGATAACTCCGACAGCAGCTCCAGCAAGTGGACTCCCTCACTGGACAGTCCAGAGGCCGGGGCAGCCAGCAGGAGCCGTACAGACTTACTCCTCCCGACTGCGGTGGCTGCATCCCCTTCCCATCCCCCACTGTGCCCGTCCCCCGGGGTGGTGATGCAGTATCTCTCTTTCCTTTTGTGAATTCTCCTGCTGGGGCCACGAGAGAGGAAGGAAGCTTCATTTTTCAAGACTGCCCACAGTTTTACTCCACACTGAAGCTCCTTTTGAGTTCAGGGCAGCCAGGCTTGGCCAGGGGTCGGGTGAGGAAACCCTGTTCCAGCTACTCTCACTAAGTGTTCTGCTGGACACAGTCTGCTGGGATCTAAGGGTGAGGCCGTGATCACGCAGCAGCCCACAGCTCTTGTCTCTGTCCTCCGATTCTCTGCCCCCTCGCAGGGCTTTCTGAATCTGCTGCCCTCTCTTTCCAAGCCAGTGCAGCGGCACTGACAATCAGGATGCCCTTCGTTAAAGTCATGTGGAACTTTTTCAAAAGGTTTACTTTCTATCCCTAACTAATAATTCCTCTTACCTTTGAAATACCCAATTTATATCGACCCCAGCATTTATTTAAAACTATTTTAATTTAAAAAGTGACACAACAATTACTTATATTTATGGAGTACCATGTAATATTTTGATGATATATTATAGACTGTTCAAATGAGGCTAAACATAGCTATGTCCTTAAATGATGCCATGTTTCTGCAGTGAAACGTTAAAGCCCTTTCTCCTGGCTGTTGAAAGAATACAGCATACACTGTCAATCTCTCTGTATTCTGCAACTCCTTTCTTCCCTTAAACTTAGCTCAGCCTTTTCTGACCCATCCCACTGGGCTCTGGTTTCCTGTAACCCAGAGTCACAAACTGTGGCTTGAGACTCCAGGTGGGGTCATGTAGCCAAATGTATGTATGTGGGGTGGGGGAGGGGGATGAGCAACAGTTAAAATGGTTCTGAATGTACAATAACCAAAAATTAATGCAAAATCAAACATGTAACGAGCGTCAAGTACCTCCTGGCAGTGCTTAGGCACGATGCACTGTGAAGCGTCACTGAAGCCTTGGTTTGGAACAGTCAGGGGGAACTTTCAGTGCATGTGGCATTCACGCTAGCCAGGGCCAGCAGCTCAGCGCAGAGTGAGGACGCTCTACATTCTGAACTGTTTTTTGCCATATACACAAAGTTTTCTGCTTTGATAGAAATAATAATTTAATTATGGGAAACAAAAACTTTCTGTCTTCTCCTGCAGTCATCCACTAGCATGGAAGCATCAAATTAGTTTATCTTAGGGCAGTAATCCCATGGGAAAATGTCTCATTTTAAAAACTGCTGCTTGAGTTGCTGACCTCTGGTTGCTAAAAAGTGATTAAATGGATTTTTTCTTGATTTTGACAGACTTCCATCAATTTATGAAATGGTCCTAAACATTCTTCAGCTATCTTGTATCATATATTTACGTGAATAGATTCTTAGCATTGATGATTATAGGTTAAAAATATCAATCAACTCTGAAAATATGAAGATGTTCTGTGTCCTGTAGTAACAAACAGCCAAAACTCCTTATGTGAACACATAAAACAGCACTCAGGAGGCAAAGCCAGACGATCTCTGTGAGTTCGAGGCCAGCCTGGTCTACAGAGCAGCTCCAGATCAGCCAGAACTACATAGAGCGTCCCTATCTCAAATAAGCAAACTAACAACCATGGAAGAACATTTATTTCAACAGATCTTGTCCTTAATAAATTGTAAAAAGACATGTGCACACCAAAGCACTGTTTTAAAACGCATTTCTTTATGACTTATTACCAGTAAGTGCTTGATTTGCAAGTCTGGTTTATACCTGTAACCTAGGGCTGCACACATATTACGGTCTCAAGCGGGACGTTTAAGAGGCCCATCACAGCCAGCTTCTATGGAAGACTTTGCCAGACCAACAGTGTTTAGATTCTGTATATGAGTGAGGCCACCCAGTGTTGTCTTTCTGTACCTCTCTTCTGTCACCACACACACTGTCCTCCAGTTTGGTCAAAGTTGTTGAAATAACAAGACTGTGTGTTCTGGAATGGAGCAGCACTCTATTACACAGATGCTCTCTTTTCAGTCCCTTCTTCAGCGTTGATGGTTACTGTAGTATGTCTGTGTCTATGTGTGACATACAAGCTAGTCACGGAAACATGTTAGTGGAACTGCACTCTTAAGGACAGGGATGGTATCCTCCTCACTTTAGAAAACTCTGCAAACACAGTAAATGAACTGAACTGACTCACCATACACCTCACCGTGACATTACAGTATGTCACTGCTGGAAGAATTCAACAGAGGGAAATAAATGTCTCCTATTAGATAAAGTGAGCAGTGAAGATGACGGATCTGTCCACGTTCCTGAGCGACACCAGTGACCAAGTTTCTAAAAACATCATTCCTGGACTCTCCTGTGTGACCAAACCCTGCTTTCCCCTGCTCACTCAATGACAGCTACGCTTTCTCGTATAATTTTATCTATCTCCTTTGTCCTCACCAAGCATATAAATATAGCAAACTAGCAGAAAGAAAACTTTTTACAGTCTAAACTCAGGGACAGCCTTGTTTCTAGTAGAGGCTATCGGTAAAGCCAAGAAGCAAAAGAATCCACAGACCATCATCCACCCCCGGGCTCCGTGTGTGGTGCCCGTCACTCTGCACTAAAGTAGACCGCTCTTAGCCACGGCTTCACTCACCCGTGGTGGTAGCTCTGGGAACTGCTGCCTCTGCCCCTCCCACTGCTGACAGACCCACATGTGTGAGACATGGGTTACATGGGCTCTGCAATAGCTTGTCCTGTAACCCAACTCAGTGGCTCCAGTAGAGAGCAACCCTTGCCATCACTAATTGGGCCTTTTTATCCACATACCCCCAACCTGACTCCCAGAAATCTTGAGTCCATTGACTTTTGAGGAGACTCTTGGAAACTTAAAAAATTCCTTGAGTGTTTCTAGAGTTAAATACCAGTTAAAAACCACTGCATTACATAGTAGCTCTTCGAGAAAGGCACCACATTGTCTCTCTGGTCCTCTCAGTGTCTAGCACACTGCCTTGATATCAGTGCTTAGGAACTGTTTGCTAGATAAACAAATGAACTTTGCAGCTTCACTTTTTGTCCTGTCTACATCTGTGAAGATGACTTATAACCCTAGAAGAACACTTTAAAAATGCCATGGGTGTCAAACTCAGGCTGACAGACCACCCATGTGACCTGCACTGCAATAAAGCCTACTGTGAAGCCACAATACATGTAGATTATTGTCACAGTCTTAGGATGACATTTTGCGAGAAGGTAGGACACACCAAAGAGGCAAGCTGCTTTCCATTTGATCTATGACATGGATGTTCCCTTCCAGAAAATTAGTATTATGGTTTTGGTAACTGCACATAAATAAAAGGTCTCTTAGAACCCTTTGTCCTAAGACTGCACTTGAAGATTCTTCTGACTTGTAGAAGATCAACCAATTGAACACTATGTAAACATCAATAATAACAGCTGTAAGCATTTTTACTGATAGCATAATAACACAGTCAAGGCAATACTTACACTCTCACTCTGAAAAGGGTTTAAGAAATTTCCCCCCATTTCACCGTCGTCTCTTGGGGTGCCCGGCTGGTTACTCAGGCTCATATTATTGGGAGAATTCTGTAAATAAGATTCAGAAGAGAAGTCAGTGTTGAAGATTTTCCTCTCCCTCCTGCGCTGCAGCTTCAAACACTCAATGGACAGGCCGTGCGTACTTTGGACAAAGCAGATGGGATGCTAACTGGCTCTTCCTCATCCTCTACCTCACACTCTGCACCAGAAGAAGAGTTAACACCTTTGCAAATGAAAGTCTGAGAACAAGCAAAACCCTGAATAAACTATAATTATTTTCCTCCTCCCAGAATCAATGTTTATGCAATTCCTCACTCTCAGTTTATAGTTTCTAGAATTCTAGAGTTAAAAACCAACCAACCAAACAAACAAACAACAAAACAAAACAACAATAACAACCCCCCCAACTTTCCCAGTAGGAGGCTGATGAAGAGAGCCAACCATGGATAAGGCATGATAGAGGCTAACTCCCTTAGTAATTGTACTAATCAAACTTTGAAAGGTCACTGCTTTAGTAGACATTTCCTTTAATTCTTTGTGAACTTTGGAGATAATACTACTTCAATTATTTTGATGTGAGTCATAAGGAAGAGAGATTGTTAACAACAGAGATGCCTTAGGACCAGAAAACTCACTTTCAGAGTTCCACTGAAGTAACATCTGCCATTAATTTAAAAAGACAGATCCTATGGAAGTTTCTCGGAGACAAAGCAGCTGCTATTAGCAATCATCACGAGGTTGGCAGGGCCTCTGTAAGAACCTGTTTAAGCTTGCCCATCTTATCTTTACCTTACAGTATACTTTGGACTATGCACAGTACCTGGCAGTCCAGGCCAATAGGAAACATAGAGTGGCATATAAATCATGTTTATACTGCCCTGCAATGGTGACTGAAGGAAGCATTTCAAGTTATAATTTATCAAGTTTAAAAAATTCACGACCAAACACTTTGTTATTTTAAATGGAAGATTTCTAGATTACTTTTGCCCTAAACCACATGGCATATTATTTCAGGTTTGTTTTGTTTTTTTTTTTTTGGAGACAGGGTTTCTCCGTGTAGCTTTGCACCTTTCCTGGATCTTGCTCTGTAGACCAGGCTGGCCTCAAACTCACAAAGATCTGCCTGGCTCTGCCTCCCGAGTGCTGGGATTAAAGGCATGCGCAACCACCATTTGGAATTTTTTTTTTTTTTAAAGAGAATTACTTAGAAGATTTTGATTGACTACAACAAGACCTATCACAAACACAAAGTTTTATGAATGAGTTCCTAAAAGGATGTGTGCTTTTTACATCTATGGTTGACCTGTGGAGCAGAGGCAGGCAGATGAGCTGTTGTTAATGCAGCTCCTGCCTTGTCTCTCTGTCCCCTGCAGGGAGGATCTGGGAGCAAGGGTCCTCTGAAGCCCACAGGAGTTCTATATGCCCATGGCTGAGAGCCACACTTCCATAGCAGAAAAAGAATTCTATCGTTTCTGGTAAGCTTTTCCTCCAAAATGCTAGTTGCCCAAGAATGAAGAGAGGTAAGTGCACTCTGAAATCAACCTGACAACTTCATTTCCTTTAAAGTTTTTATAAAATGCACCACCTTAGATTCATTAGTTATTAGAGCTGCTAATTCAATAATATATTGTGCTTTGAAAACAGGAATGATAATCTGATGGTCTGAATGAGAACGGCCCCATAGGCTCAGATATCTGAATACTTGGTCCCCATTGGTAGAATGGTTTATAAAGGATAAGGAGGTGTGGCCTCATGGGAGGAAGATTGGCACCACTCGGGGTGGGCTTTAAGCCCATGCCAGCTACAGCTCTAGTGCTCTGCTGCCTGTCTGCTGCCTCGCTCCCACCCTGTCATGGCATGGACTCTACCCTTTGAACAATGGGCCCCAAATTAAACACTGTCTTTTATAAGCGTCCTTGGTCATGGAGACCATCATAGCCATTGAAAAGTAACTAAGGCACTGATTTAGTTCAAAAAAGAAAACCAAACTTTGTGTGAGGATTTTCACTGAACATTTGGGGTGATTTAGATCTGGGTTGTACTTTTTCACATATCATTTTTTATTCTAAAAGTTTAGCTAACTTCAAGCCTGATTTCTGACTTAAAGTATTGGTTTTATTTTACTTAGTTAATTAGTATTTTTAGTGCTGATTTGAATCTATGGGCTTGTATATGTTAGACAAATGCTCTATCACTTAGCTACACCTCCAGACTCAAGGTATTGATCTGACAATATTTAGAATTAAAAATAACACTGATTTTTTTAATGAACAACACTATGTTATTATTTCTGTTTTCTATGCAATCTCTTCATAGCACGGTGGCTCAAACTCATGCTTTTTTAAAGAGGGGTGGGTTATATAAGTAAGTTGAAAGGAATTTTAAAAGAATACAACATAAATCAGGGCAGCATTAGATCTTTGAAACCCATTTCTTCTAGTCACTGGATCATGTTTGAAAATATTATAATGATAAGGACAAAATACGTTGTTTTGTTTTTACCTGAAGTATTTATTATCGGCAAAGGCTGTAATATGACATGTCTCCTTCAATGTGGAGGATTAAAGAAACTGAGCTGCACAGAACCAGTCACAAGATGAAGACTCACGCAAAAGGGCCCTGGCCCCTGAGCCTGGCAGGGAACTCTGTGACACCTCGTTTAGCTATGGCCACATCTGTGGGCAGCGTCTCCAGCAGAATTCATCACCGAGGCAAGATTACCACGCAGAAAAGGTACTCAGAATGACCAGAAAGCACAGCTGTCGGAGCACATAACCAGGGACTAGTATGACAGGAAGAGTTCAGGAAAGGTTATTTTTACCTCTTTTAACCGTGTTGGTGACATTTTTCTTATTTCAGTGGATAGGTATGTTGTGTATTTCTGCTCTAAGATTTAGCTTTAAAATACAATTCAGATTTTACTTAGCCCATATTTAAGGGATTTATTACATCGCACTTAGCCGGGCTGTGGTGGCACATGTCTTTATCCCAGCACTTGGGAGGCAGAGGCAGGAGGATCTCTGTGAGTTTGAGGCCAGCCTGGTCTGCAAAGAGAGTTCCAGAACAGCCAGGGCTAAACAGAGAAACCCTGTCTCGAAAAACCGAAAACAACAACAACAACAAAAAATCACACACACAATTCCTCTGGCTAAATGTTTACCTCTCTTGAACTTTGTAGTCTCCACTTAATTTTTAAAAATGTATTATTAGTGTGTGTGTGTGTGTGTGTGTGTGTGTGTGTGTGTGTGTGTGTGTGTGTGTGTATGTGCTGTGGGCATGTGTGTTATGGGCATGTGTGTTGTGAGTATGTGTGCCGTGGGCGTGTGTGCCGTGGGCATGTATGTTATGGGCATGTGTATTGTGAGTATGTGTGCCGTGGGCGTGTGTGCCGTGGGCATGTATGTTGTGAGCAAGTGTGCTGTGGCACACAGATGTCAGATACAACTTCAAGGAGTCACTTCTCACTCCACCTGTACCTGAGTCCTGGGGGTCAAGCACAGGTTTCTGGACTCACACTGCAGGTGCCTTCACCTGCGGAGCCATTTAACTGTCCAGTCTTCAATTTTTATCTTTTAAGTATTCTTTTCAAAGCCTCTCTTAATTAGTAAGTTATTGCTTCTTCTATTCTCAAAACACATGACCCAAACGTTTTAAAACTTTTTCCAGTTTTGTCTGCTCAGTTACACAGAGCTTCTTAGGGGGCAGTGATCTCACATTTGCTTATCTTTGGGGTTAGAGCCCAGCAGGCTGCCTTGGCACATTGTTCTTCACTGAAAGAAAGAATCCACACCCCCCCCCACTCTTTTTCCTTCTCACTGTTCACATATCAAGACTTAGCCCACAATATATAGTCAACTAATGCTTAGGCATTAAGAAAAAGAACTAAAAGTTCATTAAGCAAGTTAGTAGCGTTGGATGATGAAAAAACTAGTATTTAATTCATCATTATAATTCTATTTAAAAATATTTAAAGTGTTTTATAAGTTATAAAGTCCTTATCCCTATAGAATTTTGCTTATGTCTGTTTAATATAAAAGTTATAGTTTATTAATGCAAGTTTTAGGAAGATGTTCCTATAGCAATTAAGACATTCCAAGTTTTATGTTCAGAACCACCTCTAAATACAAGAACAAGCTCCTCAAATACGACCTTAACATTTCACTGCTAACTAAGGAGAGTCCAGCCAGCTCCCATCATAGGCAGGTCCTCGCATCTGAAAGGGCACCTCCCACATAGACAGCTGTAATAAAATCACACAGGGCCTCTTGCTTTGGAAACAGACTTTGTGAATACCATTTCTCACAGAGGTAAATTAGTACTTGTTATAAATAAATGTTTTCCTAGAATATCTCTCTGATTGTTTCCAAACACCTCCATCCAAGTATCCACAGACCTTGTATGGCAACTAGACACTCCAGGTGAATGTCAGAACTCCAGTTTACAATGTTTTAGGGCCTGAAGTCTTAGTTTAAATTGTTTTACATTTCAGTTAACCTTATATTATTTTTTTTGTGGTGCCAGGAATTTTATATTGTTCTACAAATATAAATAGAATTAAAAGCACAGTTGTCCTTCAGTGAATTTCTCTACTTACTGATCTAAAGCAGACTTCGAAGGGAATTATTTTAGTGTTAGCTAATTTTAGTTCTCATCAAACATTTTAAATATATTTGACTCTCAGAGAACTACTTTAATTTCATTACAACCTAGGAAGTATTTAGATGTTATTTTTAAAAAATATGTACAGCATTTTACCAAAAGATTAATTTTAGATACTCAAATTACTGAAGGAGGAAAAATGCAGACACATTTGGTTTTCTACATGTATTAATATAATTTCCTTCTAATTACTTTCCTACCATTTTGACTGCACATGCCAACAGCATCTAATGAAGGCTTGGAAGGCCAAGTTAACATACAAATGCAATGTTCTTATACCGTATACACCAACTTCTCAGCAGTATCTACTGTCACATTGCTGTAGACACTTCACAAACTTTTACAACTTTTCCAAAGATTGTCCAAACTGTCAGTCCAACTCACTACGTAGCATTGAACATGATTAAGTTGGCTATCATATTTTCCTTTCTTAAAGATTACGTATATTCATATTTTAATTGCTGAATGATCATATCTGAACTTCTACTTTCAAATTTTTATGGAAGAACAATATTCATAAAACTCATTTAGTACCCTTAGTGTTCCATGTGGAATAAGTGGAGATAAAAACATAGAATACACATTACTCACCTTGGAAATACTGTCCATATCTCCTGAGCCTGAAGCAAAATGTGAAAAGATAACCTTCATTAGGTAAGAGAGCATTTATAAATGGAAACTCCTGAAGGTGAGTGAACTACTTCTAAAGCAAAGAACTCTGCTGCTACTTCCTATCACCAGGACCCTAACAGCAGGAGCAGAGTCATGGCTACAGACCCCCTGGAGACCATTAGAGATATCATCTACATGTACAGATCTTTATCTTTTAATGAAAATGTTATAAATCTGATAATTTAAAATAGACATTTCTAAGAATATCTGACAATATTCTGAACAGTATTTTACTACAATATTCAAAAGTATTTTTACTAATATTAAAAATAGCTCTCAATATACACAATAGAAACTAAACATATCTTCAAGATATATTAATTTTAATTTTGATTCTTGAGAGACATAGGCAATGGGATTATATACTAACTAGCAATAATCATAACTTTGCCACAATATCAGTTTTATTTGAACTATTTTATTCTCTACAATTAATCTTAGTGTAAAAGATTGCATTTTAATAGCAGTATTTATTGGACAGCAAAAATAAAGGCTTAGCATGACTTGATTGTGAGTAAAAAGGTACAGCATTGTTACACACTGAGTGTACACATGCTATACTGTTACATGTAAATATGTAGAATAATGTTCACTTCAGAATGTAAGGAGTTAGTTGTCAACCGTTGTGAAACTTCTAAAAGCTGATTCTAGTAGTACTGTAATCAAAGGCCTTCTAACAATTTGACTAATTCTACAACTTAGCAGGTTAGAGTATTTTTGCAATACCTTGAAAAAATCAAATCCTATAGCAGGACTGTCAAACTGAACACTCTGTGATGGTGTGTATGTTTCTCTGTGGTGTCCATATGGTAGCCTGTAGTGTGTGTGCCTGCTGTATACACAGTATGTGCTGTGTGCCTGAGGAGTGGAACGTTAGAATCTCTCTGCCTTTAAATTAAATAGTTAAACATGACTATTGGCTGTAATAATCAAGACACTTCGTGTCAACCAAAATAAAATGAATCAAAACTTTGAAACCTACCAAAAATAAATATGGATCCTTAAAAGCACAAGGTCTCTTGTTGCACTGCAAGTCATTTGAATCACTTAGTGCAGACTTTCAGGGAACCGAGGGACGTGTCTGACCTGGAGTCTATCCTAGGTAGGCAGTCTGAGCATGGTTGGGCTAACGTAAGTGAGAGGCTCCTTTACAAGCCTTGGCACCACTGTTAGCTCCCAGGTTTTCTATGATCACAAGCACATCCTTTTATACCTTCCATCCATGAGCATGGGGGGTCGAGACCTGAGCAGTTTTACTTTTCCCTCTGTCTGATCATTGTCAGGATTGTATTTGCCTTACAGATTCTGGGCCTCATCTGCTAAGAAGGTGCCACATGTGAAGCACACTGCCAACTACTGCTTTACTTGAGATCAGCTCTCTCCTGAAGGCAGGCGCACAGCATGGTCTCATCAGGGAATTATTAGTATTATCAGAGCATGGTTACTAATTTTATTTAAAATGAGGCAAACATTAAAAATACACAACAGAATTAAGGAATTATTACAGAGACCTAGTTTCTCTATATTATGTTCACAGACTGGAGACAAAAACATCTGTGGGAAGGACAGGAGCCCTCTGGGCTAGGCAGCATGGCACATGCTCAGTGGAATAGTCTCCGTCAGCCACAAGACACTTACGCTGTGGTAGACTGGCATCCATACTTGTGGGGCAATCTGGACAGAACCAAACTCAAGTATCCTCCAGTTCTCATCCAATACACTATGGATCACGTGACCACACAAACAAGTATCCGTACATGGAAGAGCTTTGTGGGCCATAATACCCACTGTACTGAACTAATGTTCAAGTTTGAATTTATTCCATACACCTAATGTAAAAAGCCTTACCTAAAGAGCCATTCATGTGATGGGACTCCATTCCTCCTAATCCACCCATGGGACCATCGGACCCAGGGCCCATTGGAAACTGTTTTTAAAAATGAAGAAAGTTATTGTTATCATACGGAAAATGATTTTAACATTATTTATTAACATCAGAAATTGCCTGGTTTACTTCCAGGTGCAGAGACTTTTCAGAACGCTTTTCAAGGTTGTGGATTCTTTAATTGTCTTTCCCACCTCTCTCATCTCTGTGGTCTGGATGCTCAGGCTAATCCTTTCTGTTCATTTTTTTTCCTCATTGAGATATGCCCAACTGGAAAGCATGGCCATTCCATGCAAATGAGATGATCAGCATTCTCTCCTTGGCGGTGACAAATTTCCTCTTACACGCCCAAGGTAGTTCTTAAGAAGCTGCTGAGGCTACTGGCTCACTATGAAGAATATTTCTGTTGAATCACGGAGCTAGTATCAACGCCTTCTTAGGTGGGGATGTATCCATGTTTGAATGGGTACAGGGAATGATTTCACCTTGCAGGTTAAATGCATTTAGCTACCTAGGGACAGCTGAACAATGCTAACTCTTTAGTCAGCTGTTAGCTCACTGCAGTAGCTCTGCTCACACTTGTAAAGCATCAGGATTGTTTCAAGTACAATCTTAGTAGTAGCTGTGAACAGACATGCTGGGGTAGAGCTGTGATGGGAAGTTCAAGGTCAGTGCCCTTTCACCTCCTCTTCACTCCTCCAGAATGCTTCTGTGCCCATTTGAAGGCAGGTATCATCATCTTACGTTTGGAGGCAAGTACCTACTAAAGTTAGGATTTTCTTTTCCATGTTCCCAAGCTCCAATCATATTCCAATACAGATGGATTGAGCATTGATTACGGTGTGTGTCCAGAGTGCTGACGGTTAAGAATCATGCTGGCTTCCAAGACCACAACAGATTAAACAAGAAAGGAAGGGGAGGGGACAGGGAAAAGGAAAGGAAAGATGGAGGAAGAAGACAGGCAGGCAGGCTAGGTGGCTTAGGGGGAAAACTATTCAGACGAGCCTGGATGCTAGCAGCTCACACACCTTCCCAGGAGGACAAGGCTGCTGCTTATGACTATCTAAAAACACACAGGTAGGAAAGATGCAGGTAAAGGCACTCGTCATAAAAAACATGAGCTCAATCCACAGGATTCACATAGTGGATGGAGAGAACAGTCCACTCCGAGTTGTTCTCTGACCTGCACGTGTGCTACAGCACACTCACTAGCACGAGTGCGTGCACGCACACACACACACACACACACACACACACACACACACACACACACACACATAATAAGTGAATGCAATGAAATAAAAGTACATGATTGGTCTTTTAGAAAATAACTTGCAATGCACACACACAACTGGAAAGTCAGGGACTGACTGAATAGAACATTCTTACTCAGCTTTTAAGAGCACAGTTTGGAGCTGGGCTGAGAAGTTAGACCAGTAAGCCGTGGATGTGCTGTGCTCTACTCTCTTCCCTGACTCTGCAACTTTAAAAGGCATTTAATGGTTTAAAAGACTAAGACTATAGGCATGGAGGTCTTAATCAGTTTACTGTACAATAAATGTATTTACTGACTCTTTTCCATTTTAGTTACCCTATGTACTTATGTATCAGCATAACATTTATATCTATATTTAAATTTATTGGGAGTATTACTATACTACAGTCCAAATTTAAAATTCATATTTACATTAGGTCTGTTAGGCCCAGGAGGTACTGCATTCATTAAAGTATACATGTTGTCTCCAGAATTGGTTGAATCTGAAACAAAACATCACTTAATTAATATCTCTACCAAAGCCATCACAAAATAACCAAAGATAATCTAGGCACACACAGAAATTGACAGCTGGATACACAGCAGACACAGTCATGACCAACGTCTGGAAACAAACACCTGGCTGTCACTTTCTGACCCAAACTGTACTGTTCTGAAGTCATAAATTAGGGACATGATGAGAGGAGCAAGCACCTCAGTGATTCAGGCCAACTGAACATTATGAGAAATAACTACAGTATATTTCTTTCATAAAACATGGATTAATTTTTACTTCATATGCAATAGCATATATATATATGTATACATACATATACACACACATCTCAGACAATTTTAAAAGTTCAAATCCAGTAGCTATTCAATCTTCAGGGTTTTCTTAGAATTCCTATAGAGAAAAACTGAATCTGAGGATGAAACTGGAAGAATATACTGACTGAATTTCAAACGTGAGTTCACAATACTAGAAAAAGAAACTACCTTGCTTGAAGAAAAAGCCAGATACTTCTATCAATTTTTTTCCTTTCCTTTTTTCTTCTGGCTGTGGCTGGCCTGTAACTCATTTGGTGGCCCAGGCTGGCCTTGAATTCACAGCAATCCTCCTGTCTCAATTTTCCAAGTATTGACTCACTACCCATGGCTTCCAGCAATTTTTTGATAACTTTCTTCAGTACTTTTATTAAAATAACTGCAATGTATTCTCCATGAATATACGTAAGATTTTACACTATTCTAAAACTTATACTTCATGTCTACTAGCTAATTCTAATTAAATCTCCACATATATTTTTATGAAGTAAAACCCAGCATTAAAGCCAACAATTACTTTACATTGAGGAAATATTAGTTATGAAATAGTTTTCTATTTTCTTACAATTACAAAGTTTCCTTAGATGTATTATAATAATTATTTTGAAAATGATGAAGGGATTGAAAAAATGTTTTTTGTATTGATTCAAAAGAGAGGGTAAAATAATATGCTTTCTTATGGTAGTGACCATAGAGAGACATAATTCCTTCTGCCACTTGTGTGATTACTTACTAGACATTAATTAGCTTGTGATTTTAGTGTGTATCACTTAGAGTAAGCAGGATATTATTCATTGGTCATTTATCAAGAATGATATATGAATCTCAGTATTAGATTTTACTTTTTTTTTCCTTTGAGACAAGGTCTCACTGTAGCTCTAGCTGTCCTGGATCTCGCTCTGTAGACCAGGCTGGCCTTGAACTCACAGAGAACCACCTGCCTCTGTCTCCCAAGTGCTGGGATTAAAGGTGTGCATCACTTATGCCTGGCTAGATATTACTTTTTTTTCTTTTTTTTTT